TTGTGTGTGCGTGTTTATTTCCTTGCTGGTATTTTCACTTTGACGCTCGAGTATTTCCGACAACATGTAGCCGCGCCTCACTGTCCCCATCGGTGGCGAGGGGTTGCTGGGGGACTGATCCCTCCGAGCAGTTCACTAAAATAGTTCACTTGACAGCCAAACAGTCTACCATGAGTGCTCGCCATAAATCCTGTTGCAATGGGAGGGCCACCTTATGTCTGTTTCTGGTTCGGAATCTCAGCTTCCTAATCCGCTTGTGACAAAATGAAGGAGCAAAATTGAAAGTCTCCTGTCGCACGAATATGAAAGCTATGCTTATTAGCCTCTTGCCCCCAAACCAGCTTTAGCCTCTCTCTCTCTCTCTCTCCCTGTCTCTTTCTTTGCCACTTTTGTTGATGCCAATCCATTTACTGCTTATGACGGCTGCTATGTTGCTGGTTGTCGTGCGATTGATGCTGTCATTGTCATTGCATTTGCGTTGGGCGTTGCATTCAGCTGTGACTCATGAAGCAGACAGGCGGTAAATGCAAATGCAAATACAAATACAAATACAAACCGAAATCAGTGTACGTGTACATTACGGCGTAGTAAACAAGACCGGACGAAAGTGCACAGCTTTCAATTCTCCCCTGATTAGTAAACAGATAGGTCGAACAGATACGAGTATACAACAACAGATGGCCCTTTCGAAGCACAGTTGCACGAATAGCTGCTTTAATTCTGAATTACTGAACAATTCGGTTTCGTGCTTCGACATCATCATCGAAACTAACACAGTCGTTTTAATGATTTGAAACGAATTCAGAAACGAAAATTGGCCCAAATCTGCACAAATTAAGAAGTGCCTAATAAATGGAAAATTCAAGAAAGAATACGAATATTATTAAATTAATCAAGTCTGTGCTTAGTAGGTTTTTGAAGCATTTGATAAATTCTATCTGTGTTATTAGTAATCTGTACTGTGTTGAAATTTGATAATACATTTTTATACCCTGTACCCAGAGGGTGAAAGGGTATACTAGTTTTGTGCGAATGTATGTAACAGGCAGAAAGAGGCGTGGCAGACCCCACAAAGTATATATATTTTTGATCAGGATGACAAGACGAGTCGATATAGCCATGTCCGTCTGTCTGTCTGTCCGTCTGTCCGTCTGTCTGTATGAGCGCAAGGATCTCAGTAAGTACAAGAGCTAGGATAACCAAAATTGGTATCAAGGTTCCTATAAGCCCTAGGCAGATCGAGTTTGTTTATTTTTTCTGATACACCCCCCCCCCCCACTCCCCCGCAATTCGTGTTTTGTCTTATAACTTCCGTAATTCTCGGAAGTTTGAAATCAATTTTGGTAGGTACATCCAGTTAGTACTAATGTGTCCATGTGCCAAATTTCATCATGATAGGTCAATTCTGAAGAAAGTTATAGCCATAAGTAAAATCGCTGCTCATGCGCTGCCTCTGTCGGCAGCGCTGCCCGCAGCTGTTGTTGTTGTTGCTGCTTTGGCTCAACTTTGTGATGCATACATACACGCATATAAACACGCATAGGTACCTGATGTAAATGTATGCTGTTTAAACTGAACATAAACATGTATTCTAATTTAATTTAATTAATTAATTTTAATTAATTCATTCATTCATTTTTTTTAATAATTTAATTTTTTTTTTAAATTTTTTTTTTTTTAATTTTTCCCTTTTGTGGAGAGTACAGGGTATTTTACTGTCGGGCTTGCTCGACTGTAGCGCTCTCTCTTGTTTAAAATTCCAAAAGGGCGAGAAAATACATATGGCTTGGATTCTTCGTACCCGACACCCAAGTCAACTAACCTGCCATATGGGGGCGCCATGGCTGCCAACTCTTCAGTAGGTGCTCTGCTAATGAGCACGCACGGACTGGCATCTGCATCTTGCCTCGAGCCTTTTCAGGCCCAACACCAAGACAAAAACATCAACACTACAAGCAACGTTTACAGTTACAGGTGCAGGGCTGGCAAGCGAAAAGTGGCGTTAGTTTGTTAATTACGTGCTCGTTGCTGTCAAGGCATTGCTGCTGTTTCTGTTTCTGTTGCTGTTACTGGTTTGTTGATGATGTTGATGTTGGTAGTCTCTGGCAGAGCCTCTCCCAGAAACAAGCTCACCAGCCTCGCACTCATGTCAGCATGCCACATTCTCGTCCAAGGTTAGGGTCGTTCTAATGGCCATTATAATGAATTGCAATTCAGGTGCGATTTGATAAAATCATGTTTCTAATTCCAGGAGGAGATAGCTTTCAGAAACTAAATTAATTTATAATTATAGTCAAATAACCTGCAAAATCTATGCATTTAAAGTATATGCATATAGTATATACTTGTATGTATATGAGTCGATCTGTAAATGCTCTCCTGTTCCATCATCAGTAAAAATCTTTATTATCCTTATCCTTTCTTAATTGACCAGTTTGTTGTTATTGTTACTTATGGCACAAATGTTGAGCAAAGCAAAATAGTCTGACTCTATTATATAATACATATATTGTGCGTTCCATACAACCATTCACCCACCATTCATTGGATAGATAGTGAGAGTTTAGGGAGCGCTACATTTAAAATATAATTGAAAAATATCTGGCATTTCCATTTATTGCAAATATAGTAATCGACATTCAAGAGTAAGCCATAGACTCAAGCATGTATATATATATACATGAATCTATAATCAATTGCAATACTCAACAACTGCATTCATAATCCCCAATTTATAATCAATGCGAACGATGTGTGAGCAGCTGAAGTGTCTAATGAAAAGCAACGATTGCGCGTTTGGGGGGAGGAAAGGCGGCACTGTGTATAATACACACATTTGAGCGTCCTCCTCCTCCTCCTTCTCCCATTTCTTCGGTATTCCCATTTCCATACATTCACAACAGCTGTTGGCCACTGCCAGTGGCCACTGGACAAGCCCGCTGCTCGCATGCCACTGCATTTATGTAATCCGCTCTGAGCCCACCCACCCAAGCAACTGCCCTCAGTTTGCGTGCCTGTGGCGTTGAGTTCCAGGTCAAGCACTTGACACTCCACTCAACCACACACACACACACACACACACGCACACACACACACAGGCACACAGGCAAGCACGCACTCTCTGCCGTCATCTCCACATCATGCATACTTGTATACATATTCCAGTTCCTTAGCGCTCTGCCCCACTCTCTTGTATCCATTAGCTCTCGGCACAGCCATCACACCACAATAGACCGCACACCAGCATACCTTGAGTCCCAATCTATCCCGTGCCTGCCTTCTGCCTTCTGCTGCTCAACAGGTTGCTGCCTTTAATTGGCATATGGCAACACCCCCCACTTCCCAACTCCACTCCACTCCTGGCCAGCCCCCCACTACATTTCAATTATGCTGGCAACGTCTACCGACGCTTAACTTGGCATCGAACCGACGCGTCGCCGGACATTTCTCTGCCGTGTGCGGTTGAGTCTATTTATAGATCTAAACAGTTGGCATTGCCATGTCCGTGTATGTGAGACGGACACTGTGTGTGTGTGTGTGTGCGTGTGTGTGTGTGTAGGTTGGGTGTGTGAGGTGTCGCGCTTCCTGTGCGCACTGACAATTTAACGGAAGAATCATTTCAAATGCTGGCACTGCCAGCCACAGAGCAGTAAAAACTTTGCACGCTTGACTCGCTTCGTTGCCCCGACAAAGCGATGCCAGCTTGTCTCTTACCCCATTGCTCGGCCACTCTTTTTTCACTCCTTTTCTTCCTTTTGTTGCTACTTTATTGCCAACTACCAACTGGCTGCAAGTTGCACAAAGGTGCCAACGAAAGGAAGAGTTGAAAAACATTTACGAACTTTCATTAAATCTGGCCAACCATTTCACTTAAATTCCAGGTACTTAACAAACAAACTTATCGTCCCTTTTAATTTCATTCCCCGATTTATAAAAAGTTCAGCATTCACAAAGGTCGAGGCGCCATGGAATGCCCCAAGCCATGCTAGAATGTCAGCATTGTCTTTAAAATAAAGGGACATTATAAGAATATACTTGGTCTAATACAAGTAAGTACTAAGTGGAAACATTTCACAAAACCTTCTGATTAATAAACCGGCCCCCCTCCAATTTGTTGAAATTAAAATACTGTACAGTTTTTGTGGAGCGATGTTATAGCCATACTTGGATTGTTTTAAGGTGCTTTAGTTGTGCCGATTCTGGAAGCTACTAATATTACTATATGCCAACAATTGAACAGTTGGTCTAAAGAGCTACTGGTATGCCGATTATTTAAGAACATACCTGTGCTATATAAATTATTAAAATGCAAACCAGTATTTCAGTATGTTATTTATTCCTTACAAAGCAAGCGCATATCGCACCATTCTCCACACAAAATCTAAACTACTAGCATTATTAAATTATATACAAGATTCAAAATGTAATACGTAGTTTTTTGTAACTAATTTTTAGACTTGAATTCAAGCATTTATTTAAAACAAACACTTTCTGCCAGTGCTATCGTCTAATGATAGTGGCAAGAGGAACATTTTAAATCAAAAATGAATTGTCTTATGTATTTGAGTGAAATATATCTTTCGTTTATTTCAATGAACTAATAAATCTCTCTATATACATATGGTTTATAAATATTCCGATTAAAGGTTGGAAAATGTAAGCAACGAAACAATTCATAGATTGTCTAGCTGCTAATATTTTTCTCTTTATTTATGCATTTTAAGTGACGCCATAAAACCAAATTTTATTTACCCCATCGAACAAATTTGTCATTTTCAAAATAAACTGAACAAATGTTTATTAAAAGAAACAATTCTTTACAAAACTTGATGTTTGAAGCTGCACAGTTGTTCGGTGTGGCGTGATTTATTTTCAAATTTGCATTGCTTTGCAATTCAGATGAGAGGAGTGTGGTTTGTTTATACAAGTAAGTATTCTTGCAGTTCGGGTGAATTGCTGAATGTGGCGATTATCTTACTGGTACACCCCCAAATACTTACGCTGCGAATTGGAGCGTCGGATGATGTTCTCGAGGAAAGTATTCTGCGGTGCAACAAGTCCACGTCGTCCGCCAGGCATTTTGTCGCCCCTCTACGCTACGCTGCTAGCGCCTGCGCCTCCGCCTCCGCAATGACCGACTGATTACTGTGATTGTTTTGTCCCGTCGCCGATATCGCCCTTAGCCCTTTGGGGTAACAATTTCCAGAGATGCTCTGTTCAAATAAAGCAGCAACGGCCAAAGTCAAAACTCAATGTTCATGGGCGGCTTGTCGCGAGTTGCGCGCCTTTAGCGATGCGTTGCATACTTTGTGGGGCTTCGGCGCCGCTCATTAATTACTCAAGGCAGCGGCCACAACGACGGCGACAAGAACGGCAACGGCAATGGCAATAGCAATGGGCAACATTGGAATATAACCGGAGCTGGTGCTGGTGCTGCTGTTGTTGTTATTGTTGTTGTGTACGAAGCCGACGATGCTGCACTGATGCCTCATGCTTGTGGTTTGTTTTATTTACATGCACTTTTTGGGGTCAAACGCACACACACATACACACACACAGAGAGAGAGAGAGAGAGAGAGAGGGAGAGAGAGCGAGAGATAGCTGACACGGACAGAGATAGAGACAACAACAGCGATTTGGACAGAACAGCGAGACAGAGCAGCGCAAAGGCGCCGTAGCGGCTCCGGCTACGATAATTCCTTCAATTATCCTTTCAGTTGTTGTTGTTGTTGCTGTTATTATTGCTATTGTTGTTGTTGTTGTTATGCAGCTCTTTCAATCCGTTAAGCTACAGCTGCTGCTCTTGCTCCTGCTGCTACTGACCATGGCTTAAACTCGTTTCAGCCGCTGGCACTTGACCATTGGGCCCAGTCTTTTCGGTTGCATATGGCTCTGAAAACAAAGAGAAGGAAAACGTTATTATGCGAACAGTGCCATTAATCAACCCCACGCCAAGCCACATTCCCTCCCGCCACTCCCCCACTTCTCTAAGGCATGTGTGTGTTGAGCACAAGCTGAATTATTTACGACTACTTACATACTTGTATGTATTATGCCGTCGAAAGCATTTAACACATTTTCACACAACAACTACAATATTTCCCCATTTTTTTTTTAAATAATTTTAATTTTGCTATCCATTTGATTTCATTTTAATTTTGCGCCTAATTGTCGGAGATAATTTGTCCCTTTGAATAGTTGTGTTGAAGTCCTTTTTAAACTGTGCTTATTATTCATATTTTCTACACCATCCATTCATCCAATCGCCAAATTATTGAGAGTGTACGACCCCTGACTTCTGGGAATTGAATTTAATGTTGAACTTAACATTATGTATTAATAACAATAATTTAATGGCCTTAAAGTTATGTTATAGCAAGCAGTGTATTATAACACTTTTCAACATAACAAGGACTGAAGACATTTAAAAAACCCATCTATATAATATATAGAGTTAATATTGTTTTATTGTTAAAATGTTTTATGGTTATTATCATCTTTGCGGCTATTTTCATGCAGTTTCTTCTTTCGTTTTCCGAGGAGCAGCGATTGCAATATCTTCTGATATATTCTGATATGATATTTTATTGCTGTGCTCTTCTAAGACTACAGTTTTGTTAAGCTCCATAAACAATTGAAATTCGTTCTCTATTCTTGTATACAGAAAAGGCAAGCCCGACACACACACACACAGCTAAAGTTCTGTGTGGACTTAGTTCGTATTCATCAAATTATTAATGCAATTATGAGTGGGCAACTAAATGTGGTCAAAAGTACAGCCCTTATGCATTGCGGTTAGTCTGTTTGTTTTGTGACCGAATATACAGTACATATGTATATATGTATCTATGTGTGTGTGTGTGTATGTACATATATACTAGTAGTTAGAAAACTATTTCTCCCTGCTTCCCATAGCATTGATTTGTGCATTTATGCAGAAGTTGCGAAAGTTTTGCAATTAATTACCAAATCAAAGCAGGCAACGCAGCGTATACGCAATTTGTTTAGGTTCTCAATTATACAAGTATGTGCATGTGTATGTGCAAGCTGATTGTGCAAATGCTCGCCTTCTACGGCTTCTTCTTGGAGAGGGGAACGGAACACAATGCACGCAGCTATGCATAATAATTAATAGGTGCGCACAATTTTGACAGAATTCGACAGACTGGGTCGAAACTGTTGTGCAAAGTTCTGCAAAGAAGCAACTATGGCATGCTGGCCTTTTAAGTCGCTATGAAACAATGAACACATATAGTATTAATAAGAAATTAATATGACTGTACGAGCTCATTACACACAATACGGGTAAATGCTTTATTACGCACAATGCTGTCCACAAAGCAATGCTTTTAATAATGTTATTCAAGTCCGTTGCCCAACTGGTTAACTGCTCATCTTTGTTTTTAGTTTTGTCTTCTCCTTCACATACCATACATGCTCATGCCCTACATTGCACAAACGAGCATGTCAGCTTGAGAATCGCTTTAGCCACTCTAATTAATCGTAGCTGAATCGAGTCGCTTTTTCGAATTTTAGTTTCCCTTGTGCATTGATATTTGGTTTTTATGGAAGAATATTAGATATTTAATCTTATTTATATTTTTCAAATAGAATTTTCAAGGAATGAATGAAATAATATGCAAAATAATAAAATTTCAATTTGATTATTTTGATATTCCAAATTATGATAATCCTTCTATAGTACATACAGAAGGGGGCGTTACAGACCCTACAAAGTAAGCATATACATATATTCTTGATCACTATGACAAGACGAGTCGATATGTCCGTATGTCCATCTGCAGCGAAATTTAAAGAAGCAAGCTTGGGAATCACATTCCGCTAAGCCCCAAGCAGGACATGAACTCATGTGGTTATTTTTCTTTTATGCTTTTCCCCACTCCTCCGCTTTTAGAGTATTATTTCGTAGCTCCCATAATTCTGAGAATCGCTCCGGTGTGTCCTCTGAAAGTATCTCCGATCGAGCTCTGCCAGCGCAACTCTGCACACAGCTACACAAATAGACCGACACAGATACAATTCCAACATTAGTTAAGATACATTTTTTTGTGGAATTTGGTAAACGCATTCCACCTATACACGAAGACTATATTGGGAATTGTATGCATCAATAAATATTTATACTACTCACTATGGACAGCGGCTGTTTAAATTCTTCACCTCTTAGCTTTTTGCTCGAGTGCTAGTTCGGCTCGCCTGCGCCTGCTTTTTAAGGTAAAGGGTGTTTGAAGGTCTCCTTGCAATGCAACCCCCTCTAGCCTCTGGCAAATATTGCTGTTGCCTTTTCAGTAACTCCCCGGCATAAAAAAGTAATTGTGGTAAAAAATTTCAAAATGTTACACAAACTTTCTCGCCACACAAACGGCAAAATAAAAACAGTTGCCAGGACTCTAGCATTTGGGAAGGAAGCGGAACTAAGCCGGCTATGAGGCAGGCGGTTATTTAAATTTTAGTTTTTTTGGAAAATTTTTAAACCAATTATGCACTATAAAGCAAGTTTTGTATTTGGAATATAAGGAAGAAATTTGTAAACAAAAATTGTGGGAAATCTGCTTTGAAAGGCTCGCTTTAAATGCAATTTCTGTAGCTCCTTCTTTAAAACTAGTCGACTTATAGATTAAAGTTATAAATCGTGCAAGTTCGCACTCACGCTGCGCTCACGGCAGGTATACGTACACCCTTAATTTATTATACTTGTAGATTTCACGAGAGCTTTGCAAATTTTTGAGAATGTTGTGAGACGCAGAAAAACAAAAACAAATACAAACGCAAATCCATGTAAACATACACGCGTGAGTGCATCGTGAGTGCAGCACTAATATACGTACAGTCATATGCCTCTTGTACTGATTGGGTTAGCCTTTGAACTATAAATACCCGGGCCCATAGATCAATGTCAAGGCCAGGCACTTGAGCGCTCTTATGGAAAGTACGTGGCCTGCCTTATTCAATTACTACCAGATTAAAATGCAATTGTGCACTTGGCCCGCAGCATTGACAGTTCTATCGACCAGCTGTGCTAATTGCCAACGATAGCTTCAGTGCCCATCGGCCGATCGGGCCAACTGGCCACCACTTCTAGTGCCGCTACTGGGAACACTAATGAAGATGAATTGGAGGAGAGAGTCATGGCAACGCGTGGACGGGCCCGTCCACTAATTGACACGGGGCTTGTGGACAAGAGCTTCTTCGGAAAATCGAATGGCAATTGCAAAGCAGAGGCGTATGGCGGGCGAGGATTGGCGAAGGTGCAAATTATTGTTAATACTCATAAAGTGAATAAAAAAGCAAGTAAAATGGCAATAAAAATAAAAGTTTATGCACTTGCGAACACGCACTAATTACACACACGCGCCGCACACACACACACAAACACACACACACGCACACACAAACACACATACACTTGAGGAAGAACCAAAGCGTCGCACAATAAAATTGAAATTAGAAATGGGAAACGAGCAGCGAGCAGCGGGCTGTGAGCAACGGTAAATGGGCAGTAGAAATAAAGAAGAAGAAATGGCGCACAGTTAACGGTAGATAAAAGCATTTTAGGTTATGGAGAGTAGGCTGGCTGACTGGCTGGGAGGGAGGCAGGTAAAAGATTGCCGGCTTCTAGGCTGGGGACCTGTAAAATGTACGCACACTCCTGAAATGCAACAAAGTAAGAAGCAGCAGCAGCCTCATCAAATATCCCCCCCCCAACTCTAGAGCACCACTTGTGCCACCCCTCCCTCCCTCACTCTCTCCCCCTCGCTCTCTCCCACTCGTCCACAATGTTATCGCTGTTGTTTCCGCCCCTGCTTTTGATGTTGAGCTCAGTAATCTTTAATTTCATTAAAATTCAAGTTTAGCAGACAAGCAACACAAGCAACAGAAGCCACTGAAGCAACAGCAGATGCTTTGCATATTCACGAGCCGTCTGCCCCTCCTCCTAACCCCTGCCCCTGCCCCTTGGTCCCTGCCTCCTGCCTCCTGCCTCCTCTCCGCAGCGCTGTTGCCATTGTGCTGCTTATGCTTATTACAAGCGCACTTCTGCCAAGCACCAAGCACTATCA